CCCCAAAACCCCAAAACCCCAAAACCCCAAAACCCCAAAACCCCGATAATCAAAGCAATAATTGGAGATTAAGGCTTTATTAATTACTCAGCGTGGATGAAATCAGTGATCAACTGTGTAACTTCTTTTCTCTTCCATTGTGGAGCCATGTGTCCAACACCATGAACTGTAGCAAATGTCATACCGTCATAGACTTTTTGGTATCCGGCTACTTGATCGTCGACAATCCAGGCATGCCAGTCCTTAACAGTGTCCCATCCAAGATCTCTTATCCAAAGTTGAGATCCATAAGTTGGAACGGCACCATCTGTGTCACCTGAAAATTTGAGAATTTTGATTCCATTAGATTTAAGGATGTGGTAGATCCAATGAGATCCTTCCTTCTGGAGATGGTAGGTAAAGTCCCCTCCTGCACAGGCTTCATAAGAATGGATGTCTTTCTTGATGTGGAAGGCCTCTCTGACATCTTCTCTGTTGAGATAATCTGATACATAATCTCCTAGAATCGGGGCAGAATCTCCATAAATATCTTCAAGCCATGGAGTGTAGTCTGTCATCTTATAGCCTCTCTTATAGTATCTCTCTTCACCATCAATAATAGTCTTGCCAATTCTTTCTTTGTTTAGGCTTCCATCGTCGTATACCTTCCTGTAGATATCGTACCAGTTGATTCTGGAAGTATTTTCATCGAAGGTTCTTTTAGCTTTCTCGCAGACTTCAGAAGTCTTAGCTGGGAGAACATCTCTAAAGTACCATTCACATCCATTTTCGACAAAAGTGTTGTGAAGTTCTGTGTCCATTAATTGGTGATTGTATGCCATTTCAAGGTAAGATGGGGTAGTATCATACTCCCATTTTGTTGCTCCATTTCCTACAAGAATTCCTTTCAAATTGATTGGAGTTCTTCCGTTGATCTTGGACATTGTGTTGTGCTGATGAATCCTGTAAGCAAGATTTGGAACATAAATTCCAGCATAGCTCTCTCCTGAGATGAACAAATCACGGTCCTGATATTCAGGGAACTTCTTATAGAATTCCTTCAAAGCTTCCAAATTTTCGTGAGAAGATTGAAGATCGTTTGAAACTTTGTCTTCTTTATTTCTAGCAAAGGAGTATCCAACTCCTGCTGGAGCTTCAAGGTATAATACATTTGCCCTCTCGTTCCAAGGGAAAGGATTTTCTTTGACAAAGTCTTCTCCATCATCAATAATGCATGGCCCATGCTCTTGCATAAATCCAAGCATTGAAGAGCATCCTGGTCCACCATTGAACCACATGAGAAGAGGGTCGGTTTCTGGATCACCTTGACTCTCAACAAGAACATAGTGCAAGCTCTTGTTTGCAGTAACATCCAGGTATCCTGAGTAGAGATCGAAATCGAATTTTGGACAATCTGGCATCTGAGGAACCAAATCATCGACAAGTCCAGCTTGTGTTAACCCAATAACCAAGATTAGGGCTAGAATAGGAGTAAATATTTTCATTTCCTAAATATTTTTATAGAATAGACTTATTTCTCCTTTAAAAGGGGTTTTGGGGTTTTGGGGTTTTGGGGTTTTGGGG